TATTCCAGAGTTCTCCTGAAAGTTCCATATAGAATCAGTGAGTTCTGAACATCTTATTTTGTAGAGTTGCACTAGCCTTCCTTGCACCTATTCTGGTGCCATCTATTTATTCTTAGCACATGGACTGCAGAATTTTATGTGGCAGTTGCCTAATAGTTTGTGAAGAGAAGCAAATGGGTAGGAAAGGCTGGAAGGGCACAGCCAAATTGGAGACCTCGTTCAGATTCCATTTCATAGCACAGAAGATTAAACTAAGCTGAGAATAAGCCATCAAAGAAAGCACTGGCAACAGAAGAGATTTTCAAATCCAAGCTTTACTTTTGTGGTCTAGCCAGGTTATTTGATAACCAGAAATATTCCACCACCATTCAGGTACAAATCATATCCCAAGTACAAAAGGAAAATGAACAAGAGGTTAATAGGAAGCATTTGGCTCCTAGCTATCTTATTAACTATATGATTACACTTGAACCCACGTTTACTCATGGGTTCTCACTGTCTCATTTACAGTGCAAATCCCAGATGTCTACTCAGAAGCAAATACCATTGCTTATACCCAGAAAAGTGGGTAAAGAATTGTACCCTTAGTGTTCAAACCAAACTGGAAACTGTTTACCTCATTCTGGGGTCACCCCAGGTAAACAGTAATTGTCTGTGGGCTTTTCGATTTCCAATCAAATTTTCTGCAAATATATATGGACTGTGCTTGACTTTGACATTTCATTAATACTTCCATTATTATTTTAAGTGCCCAAGCGCTGTCCATAACTTGGTTTGACTGTAGTATTTATAATCAAAATCATCACTGGGAATGATTTTTACAGTTTTGGTCCACTAGATGGCCAGTGGGAAATTGCCATCTTCACCACTAATTCAATGGAAAGTAGCACAATCAGTAATTAAGAGTATAGCTTTGAACATTACAGTGAATGTAGGGTAACCAGGTGTGCAAGTGAGTCATGCCTGTCATAACAACCAAAGGGGAAATATCTTTTCTACTATGTCACCTAAATTAATTTTTTTTTTTAATTAACTGATAAGATCATGATATCAGTGAGTAACCAGAAAAATACTAAGAAGTCTTCTTAGAAACTACTTAGCAGAAAAAATAAAAAACAAGCTATATCTATTAGTCTGATTCAGGCACCACAGAAAACAAGAAATTGGCCACCACAGATTCCATATTTGTACCCCATCTCTGAATCTAATTCTTGTATGCTCCAATTCTCTTTAAGGAGCTGCAAAATTCATCAATTTGGGAACAAAACATTCCAGACAACCCGAAAAAGTTCTGCTTCCCCATGCTGCTCTGGGAATAGTTAGGGATTTTCTGAAATATAAGTGATCTGGGCATGTGGGCCAGTGACCACCCAGAAGTTCTTAAAACACTTCTATTTTCAAGGATTTACTTCCAGAACCTGCTAAATAGCATGGTCCAGATGGCAAAGCCCTAACCCTTATATAGACAGCAAAAGCAAATATGACAGACAAATCTCTTTTGTTTCTACCTGGTTCATTATTCTGCCTTGTTTTCAGGTTTTAAATCATTCATAAACCACCCAGAGTTGCTGGGAGTAAGGCGGCATATAAATTTAATAAATAATATCTCAAACTTGGTTTCTTCTGTTTTCTAATGTTGTACATGCGCAAAATGGTGGCCACCGTGTTTTATATTCCTGTCATAAAGTCAAGTTCCCATATGTTTATCTCATATAGGTTGGGTTTGTCAAGTGGTTTCCCCACAAGCATATATACTTTGTGTGCAATTTTCTTAATATATGCAACACTGTGTACTTTGCAAAACTGTGAGAAAAGCAAATATTACAGGGTAACTATGTTTTGGCTTACATATGAATTTCTAATTTGTTAACTTTTTCCAAAATGTGAATTGTGCAAAATTATCTCCATATACCATACTATCACACATCCTAACATATGCACTTGCGGATGAATATTTAACATTTCTGTAAAAGAGTTATATGCATGTGAGGATGGATACATGGCATTTTCTTCAATGCAAGAGCAACAGCAGAGGGCGTGGCCAGCGTAGAGTCCGAAAGCACAATTAGCTAACTCACTCTATTATCTATTCATATTCAGTGCGTGAAAGGGATTATCTGAACCCCCTTTAGGCTGCCATATCTGAGACTGGGAAAAAGCTAAACTCTTTAAATGTTATCATTATGGTAGTAATAATCATAGCTCTCAAACTGCACATAGAACTAAAAGAAACAGTAATTTGCTTAAGGTTGTTCAATGAACTCATTCAAATATTATGTTGCATTAGCTCAACACTGTAACTGTTCTCCACACACACCTCACATTTTGTGTGTGATCTACACATAAGGGGTGCGTGCCACTTCGCCACCACTATTTTCTATAAGAGGAAGAACTGAGTGCATCCATCTTTCACTTTCCATGTCCCAGATAATGTCCCAACCTATTCTTGGCCATGTATGTACCAGAAATAAGAGGACTCTATACATCATCAAATTGCTGTGAGAATGAGAAAGAGAACACTTTGAATCCATGCTGTATTCTAGGAAACAATCTTAAACCATCAGTACTGACACCAATCATAAGAGCTGGGGACCAGAAAACCAAACCACATGGTTGTTACCAGGTTTATGGAACCCTTGGATTGCAACCCTAATATGGCTCAAAAGGCCTCAGGCAAGGCTACTTCCAGTCCTGTCCTCATTACTGCTGTGCTTTACTTGCGCCTCATTCTTCCCTGTAAAAAGAATGGAGGGTCACAGGTAAAAGCATCACGAGCCAATCCTGCAGATGTAACAGCACAAGTAGAATCCATTTCACCCACACCTCACTTTTTGCACCTGAAAGGAAAGGGTAGGATGCTGATAAAGCAGAATTGATCCTGCCAACACTCCTTTCATTTTAACAGCCTGAAGAACTGTCATTTCTAAAGATTGTTCTTTTTCAAACAACATGGCAATTTTTTTTACAAAAAGCAATCTTTGCAGTTTAATACTTTTGCCTCTTCTGATAGAATGCTATATCATTTACAGTCTACAGATAATCTCTCCAATGGCAAGATTTCTTAGAAAATTTAGCATTGTCATGTTCTAGTTTCAGCTCAGTCTTCCACAAAAATTCAATGTATTGTTCGATCCCATTTTTGAAGATACATAACTTTAAATGTTTGCTGATTTCTTTTGTATACATAATTGTTAAAACAAAAGAGCTCCTTTCATTAAGCAGGTGATAAAAAGGTAAGAAGCTGGAAGGCCCAATTAAATGAATTAGTGACTGAGTCCTTTGTTGACTTCTGAGATGAATGATGCAACCAAGTCTTGGATGGAGTTTTAGAATTGTAAGTTTAAAAAGACACACTTCAGTGGTATAAATATTACTGTATGGAATCTAAAAGTGGCTTTTGTTATCACAGGAAAAAGAACATGAGAAACACCCTTCCAACTGTCTGGCCAATTATTTTGACCACGGAATGGATATATAAGGTTTGTTTACAACACAAATATCACAGAACTTTTTAAACATTACAAAAATGTAGTCTAGACAAATCAACAGGTGGTGATTCTCCAAAGCTTGGACAACCAAGGGGAATTTATTCAAACCACCTTTTAAAAGAATCTTCCCCCTCAATAGCTGCAAGTTTTTCTTGAAACAAGTTCAAGGGAAGCATGCTGAACAGAAATCAAAGAAGCTGCTTAAATACAACCTGGAATAGTAGTTACTTTAAAAAAAACAAACAGCTGGTATTATTCAAACTGTGCCTGTCTCCTTCCCCAGATATCAGAAATTTTATAGCACAGCACTAGGTATCTGTTTCCGATGTCTTTTATGCACAGAAAGAAAATCAAAGGAACAGAAATACTCATTCCAAGAAGAAATATACATTTGCCTGACGTTCAAGAGAGGGCTGTATAAAACTTTGGTGCACTCAGCTCTTGAGCATATGAATAAAATATGCACACCCCTAGCAGCAGTCACGTATCACCTATACACACCTGTTGCATGTGCCCACTGAAGCCACCTGCTGGCAACTCTTGGCTTCTTGGAGCATATTGCTGGGAATCAAAGCAGGCAAAATCTTCACACAGAAGTATGCATGTGTGCACAAGCCAAGTGAAGTGCCAGAGAGGCGGAGAGAAAGACAAGTGTAAACAAAATCTATTCCATCCCTACTTCCAGCGCATAACTGCACAGACAAATCCCACGGTGGGAGCCAGCTGCTTTTCTTAGCCTTTTAAACACGCCCAGCGTTAAAAGGACTTTGGCAGCTCTGCTCCGCCGCTCGAAGCCGGTTACCAAGTCGCCCCAGGTAACCAAAGACCCCAGGCGGCTCTGGGCGCGCACTTCCCCGAACCCAGCGAGCTTTTGTTCCTGCCTGCAGTTCGAGACCGCTTGACCTGGGCGTGTGCAGTTTCAACCCTTACCTTCTCACTCCTTCGTGCGGACGAGCCTTAGTCTCCAAACCGAGGGGGCGCTTAAAGGAGTCAGAGATGCTGTGGCTACTGAAAAAGAACAAGAAACCGACCGAGAGAGGCTGGGAAGGATCCCTCAGACAGGGAACTCAGAAACTCTCAGGTGTCGTCATCACCGCCTCTCCCTACCACATTTCTGCCGGTCCCTCTGGCTTTGTCTGGCCTCTCTCCCCAGTTCCAGCTAGTTCAACTCTTCTAGTCAATCAATGCTCGGCCCGCTAGCTCGGAAGAGCTCCTCCCCAGGCAAAGCAGCTGCAAGAACAATACCGCCGCCCCCCGCGTACGCGTCCCACCTCAACACACAATGGGGCGATCGCCGCCGCCGCTCAGGAGGCATTAACTCTCGAGTAGCGCATCTAAAGTGCGGGAGGAAGAGTCAGGTGGAGCCGGACCAGCACCCTTCTCCTCCTCGCCCCAGTAAGAGAGAGATCGGGAAAGAGGAAGGGGGTCCACAAAGAAAGGAGCAGGCAGGTTCGCCGGATTCTCCACCACCCCACCAAACACGCACCGCGGGGAAAGAACCCGGCTACTTACCGGTGGGACGGGCGGACGGCTGCAGACTCTCCAAGCCGAGCTGCTTTTGCAACTAAATCCTGGTGCGCCCAAAAGGTCTCGCTCCGTAATTCATTGAGAAGAGCCGAGAGGTGCCGGGAGCGCCGAGCGGCTCACCCTACCACGAGACGCCCCTCCGGCGTCTGTTTCGCCCGAGCGCTTGAGAGGCGGGCGGGGGCAAAGCCGGCGTCCCCTCTTCTCCCCGCGCCCTCCTCCTCCTCCTCCTCCTCCTCCTCTCCCCTCTCTGATGCTAGTGCGGCCGCTTGGAAGACTCCCCTCTCCGACTCCGGCGGCAATCCTGCCTTTGCCGGGTTAGCCCCTCCTCGGGGAGGCCTCGTTTCGCCTCCGGCGGCAGCTGGAGCTCTCGCACGGCGGGAGGAGAGGAAGATTAACCACTCGGACTCGTCTGGGGAGCGAAGCCAAAGCCGGGGGGGCCGGGCGCTGATCGCAGCCTCGAGGGAAAAGGATTCAGACACACGCACCAGCAACTCAGCTACTGTTTATCTGCGTTGGCTGCAGGCTTGGCCTCGTTGGGTTTGCCAACCTCCCTTCCCTCTTCTGGGAAACTCCTCCCAAGCCAATTGCGGTGGTTTCGAGGTTTCAGCGAAAACGCGCCCTCTGTGCAGTAATAATCCCGCGCGCCGGTCTCTGTTCCGTGCGGCCCTTTTACTTCCTCTTCTTTTTCGGACTCGGTGAAGTAGATATGATTCAACCGGTTCAGCCGGGGAGTTTCTGCTGCACGTGCAGCTGATGGTGCCGGCACGATTGGTGGGTGCCCTATAAAGGCAGGTGACCCTCTGTCGA